GACCCTTCTTCAGAAAATTTTCTGAAGAAGGGTCTAGGCCCGAAACGTCAGCTTTCCTGCTCCTCTGATGCTGCGTGGCCTGCTGTGTTCATCCAGCTCTACACCTTGTTATGTGAGAAAATTAGGCTAGTTATGCTGAGTAGCACTGTTGGATCTTTTGTGTTTTTGTCTTTCCTCATGACAAGATAATTTGGTTTGCAGGGAAACCTGGATACCACAACTTGCATGAAGATTAAGTTTGTACCAGAGGCACTTCATGCAGTGCTGTCATTAGGCTCAATGAGGCATATCGGTAACTCTATAGTATCAACAAACCTTTGCTCCACCATTGCACACATTAGTCAATAATGGGTTTCTTAATCTTAATTCAGTACTTTAAGTTGCCACCATCCCTGCCAGCAACTTCTGTGCAGAGTAAACAAACTAATTCCCAGTGTCGATGGGATAAGCTGTAAGGAATGTTTTATTCATTCATTCGTATATCACTGCCTAAGTGCTTGATAGGTTAAGGACTCTTCAATCTTCAGGCAAAGCTTCTGACAGTAACTTCTGGAATTCTGTTAGAAACTGACTGAGGTGTATTAAGCCATTTAAATACAGAGTAAGAGTGCAGGTTCAGGATTACAAAGTATGAGCTTGGGACTCATCTGGAAATATGTCATTGTAGATGGAGATTTGCGGTGGAGCAAGTGAGTAGGACGTATGGTTGATGCAATTCACTGGGCTCCTTTATAAAAAGTGGCTAGATATTGTAACAAGAAAATAGTGGGGGTGATTTTATTGATAAATGGTTCTACCTCCTTTTAAGCCATTGTTGGTTGGATTAAACTTGATGCATTAAAAAAAATATAAACCTTACATTTATATAGAGCTTTACACAACCACAGTTGCCCCAAAGAATTTTGCAACTGTAGTACTTCATGAAATCTAGTCACTAATGCAAGGAAGCCAAGTTGCACACAGTAAATTCCTGCAAATAACAGCATGATGATTCTTGTTTTTGGTTGATTTGAAGGTTTCTAGGATTAACTGGCCTTCTGCTCTTACATGTAAAACAATGGAATCTTTCACATCCACCTGAGACAGTGAAGTGTTCCTCAGTTTAATATTGCTTCTGAAAGGTGGCACCTTCCTGTGGTAGTGCAGCACTCTCTCAGTACTGTCTTGCAGTGTTAGCCTGATTTTTGCCTTCATGTTCTAGAATGGGACGTGAAGCCACAAACTACGACTCGGGCAAGAGTGCTATCAGCTGATATGCACATTCTGCAATCAAAAGCTTATTAGCACACTTCAGCAAACTGATGTTGAATTGGATGATGTAATGATGAAATCTGGAGGAACAAACACTTCCTGCTCTAAAATTAGAATAAGAACAATGACACGATGGAGATTTCACATCTGTGCTTGTTAAATTAAATTTCAATTTTGGTAATATTTTTTGACACATCTATTGGTTACTTAAAATTTGGTTGGTTATACTGTCAAGGTAGCTAAGTACTGGTTTTAAAATTTTGCATTTCTATCTAAGGAATTTCATAAATGATGTATGGGTTAAAGGGGCTATAAGGTAATATGGTGAATTGCATAAATGTGAGAGAATTTGGTGCAGCTGTCTGTTTTATCGTGTCACTCTGCAAACAGAAGCCAGATGGTGACTTACAGCTGTTCTGATTACACAAAATACCAAAGTAAAGTAATGTCTGTTGTATGAGCTTTAAATAGCTAGCTTTAGCTTTCAAGCCTCAATATAGATACTGATTTTGTTTTTCTCTCTTTCCACCTAGCTTGAATTACAGGCATCTTTTTAAAACAGCTCAAGTTTCTTTAAGACTTAACATTTTTTGCAGAAAGTATGTTAACTTTTTAAACCTCTTAGAATAGGAAAATGGGTAATTAATAGAATTTGTAAACATTCTTGATGACACCTGTACTAGGAAATATGAAATTCCATTCCTTGTTAATGCTGAGCTCTACGTTGTCAAAAACTGTCAGATTGCATATGGACGTTAACAACACTCTATACCTCTCTGTCACATCTCATAATACCCCATTGCCTCTGATTTGTTGGGCTCCTTATCCATCATCCAGTATTGGATAATCATAAATTTCTTCCAATTTAGTATTGGAGTGACCAAAGCTATTGTGGTAACTACCACAAACTCTTCCATGGCTACTGACCCCAATCCTGATGTTAAACCCTGGTAGCTTAGTTAACTCTGAGGTAAGTTCCTGATACCATATTCTCTCCTACTATCAAGACCACCACCTCTGCCTCCATAACAACATTGCCTGTTTTCCCCCCTTTCCAGGCTCATCTATTTCAATGCTTTCCTGACCAGCTTTCCATATACTCTCGGTAGACTAGAGTTACTGCCTATCCTAACTTTTACTAGTTCCTGCTCACATCATCCTGTGCTTGATGATCTCCAGTGGTCTGTTTAAAGTTGGCATTCTAGCTCCGTATTTTGCCATGGCTTCTTCTCTTCCTCTCCCCTATTTTGTTCAAACACAGACAGCTGTACCTTCAACTACCTTTGGCCTTAAGCACTTGAATAACTTTCTTAAACCCCTTTGCCTTCTACCTATCTCTCCTCTTGGGCTGCTCCTTTAAACTTGATTTATAGGAAGCTCTTGGTTGCCTGCTCCAATACCTGTTTGAGGCTCAGTGTTGAATTTTTGTCCATTAGTGCTTTTCTGAAGCACCATAAAACATTTTACAATAGTAAAGGCACTATATAAATGCAAATAATATTGACTAATCTTAATGGAGGACAGTGATTTTTTTTCTGCTCATTATCTGAGTTGTGGTTGTCTGTCTGTGACCATTTGTTAGTATCAAATGATTCCTCCTAGAAAATATGTGACTGGCATGGCCTTATTTTGTCTTTGGCTGCAATGGAGTACTGCTAAGTAGATAGCTTCTGAACTAATGGAAACATACCTTAATAAGAAACAATACTTTGAAAAGGGGGTGAATTGCTTCACTGAAGGAATGTAAATTAGGATGTTACTGTTTGTAATAGATCCATTTAATAACATCCCTAATAATTTTTAACCCAGAAATGTCCAGTCTATTTTGTTCATTCTCTGTTCACAGCTTGCACATATAGTAAAACTGCTAAGTGAGTGGTAAGTTATATGCT